TTTTTTTTTTCGTTGGTTCTTATAATCAAAATTTTACAGTTGATCCTGTTTTTGCTTGACGTTCACTTCCAGCTAAATCAACAAGATTAAGTTTTCCAACACGAATATGAGCCTTTCCATCCATACCAATCTAAATTATTTTAATTTGAATTTTGTGAAATGAATCTTTTTTAATACTATTACCTCACTACTTTCAACAGTAATAATAAAAATAGCATGTGATCGTGAACTATGTTCATTCATATTTGTTGCTCTAATTAATTTAAAAGTATTTTTTTTTAAATAAAATAAATATAAAATATACCCTGTTGAACGATTTAAATTTCCTGTTGTCATAACATGTTCAATTTCTTGTATATTTTTTGTAATAAATGAACTAAGATCATGTACATGAACACCTTCTTTAGGATGTTCTTGTAATTGTAAACGTTTATTTTGATCTCTTGATAAAAGATCACGAATACTTTCCTAAAAAATTTATTTTTTAAAATAAAATTAAAATTAAAAAAAAAATTAAATAATTAAATATTTACATTATAGATTTCAAGATAAGAAGCTCGTACAAGAAATTGTCTTGATGTAGTATGTGAAATTGAATCAAATATATGTGTAAATGATGATGGAATTATTCCACGTAATTCCACTTGAGAACGAATACCTATTAAATGAATTGAATCAAAATCAAATTAATTTCTACTCATGTTGTTTTTCTTTTTACTTTACCTTCCATAGTAAATGTTTTTCCAGTACCAGTTTGACCATAAGCAAATATTGTTCCATTAAAACCTTCAAGTACTGAATCAACAAGTGGTCGTGCTGTTTGTTCATAAACATTTTTTTGTTGTGAACTAAATTATTTTTAATTCGGAGATAAATTATTGACCGAAGAAAAAAACCACATACTTCCAATCGTAAACAGCATCAAAAAAAAAATTATGTATTGTATCATCACTACTACGTTGAGAAGATTCACCGGTTGGTCGTCGAATAGACATTTGCCGACGTTGAACATCGATGTCAACAGCTCTAATTAAATAAAATTAAAAATAGATTTTTAAAAACTAAAAAAGAAAATAAAAGTAAATAAAACCTTTCACAACCAGATTCTTGTTCTTTATCACTCATCGGCCGACATCGAACAACGACTCGAACCGATTCATCTTTACCCTTATTTGATGCAGTTGTTGTACGAGGCTAAACAATTTATTTAAGGAATATAAAGAATAAAACAACAAAAAAAAACCGAAATTAGTTTTACCATTATTCCCAATTGCAATAAAAATAAAAGGATGTTCTCTTTTGCGTAGTAGAAAACACCTACTTACGTATCCTTAACTACTACATTGCGAGTAACGAAGGAGATTTCATTGGTTCTATTTTCCAACGAATACTTATGTTCATTAATGATAAATATGAGAATAGTTTCTATGAGTAAATCTTTAATTTTACTTGATGAATTTAAACCATTCAAAAAGTATAAAATCAAAAAAAGAAATTAAACAGGTGTCAAACAGTTCATTGATAATATTATATTATTGTTTATCAGCAACAACAGCATTTGAAACTATATATCTTTTTTATTTGTTATAGTATTTAGATAATATATATGAGATTTTTGATACATTACGAATAAGTCTTTGAATTTATATTTTCATGTTGATATTTTGATTAAAGAAATATTTTGTAGTTGAAAATGCAATTCAATAAATAATTCATATGCTTAACAAAAACTTTCATTCAAATTTAATTACATACGTTATATTGATCTTGTTTATATAAAAAAAAATAAAAAGATATTTGATAGAATACTTCACAGGTACATTGTCTCCCACATGTGTACATATAACATATCCATATTCTGCGATTTCATTTCCTTACTCATGTTAGAATATACGTCATTCTATATCATGTTTATTCAAAGGATTCTCTTGCCTAAAAAAAATTTAGCTTTGGCCTAGCATTACATGGTATTTTGATGAAGCGTTCTACGGATATTCGGTTGACGAAAGTAAATTAATAAAAAAAATTTTCACGTCTTCAAACCTTAACGTTCCGAAGTTTGCTGGAGATCAAGGTACGGAATGAGGGTTTTTTCTTATTGTAACTTTCTTTAATATTGAGAAGCGTCAAAAGCTCTAAAATCTTGGAATGTCAAAAGCGATTGTCTAGAAAGACGAGACTTCTTACAAATATAGAGCCTAATAAAAAAAACTCCTTCTCTTCATCCGAAGGAATATCATGTGACCAATACATAAAAGAAACAGTAGTTTCCTAGAACAAAGCATATTGGAAAAGAATTTGTGCGGAGATTAACTGCTGACACAAAGACCACTTTTGAGGAAACATTATAAACCTATGGTTGAACATCAACATGATATCTAACAAGATCATATATCAATCACTATAATTAATCAAGGCTTGGCAGACTGCATTCTTACTGACATCTACAGTTAATAGCAATTGAAATTGCGTACAAATTTTTTCTTCAGTTGTTGCTTACATTTGGTTAAGAGTATTACAATAGAGAACTTGAGAAACTTTTAGTACATCTCTTTGAAATCTTTTAAAATCAACAGCTTTTATTAATAAATACCTTAGGGCACATGTCTATATGTTTATCAAAAAAAAATCATTTTTTTAGCAAAGATGGGCTTTTCGAAGGTGGAAGACTCACTTAATACATTCAATTATATTTTTATAACGAATAGATAGTTTACAATAAGACAAATAATTCATAGAAGAGCACATAATTCGTTTATTGAGACTACATGATACTTCAAAAAACAAAAACAAAGTTCTTGATTAAAATCACATTGATTAATGTGTACAGTTAACTAATCTAGTATCATGTGTTATTGTTGTTGATATTTAGTAGTATTCAATTCTTCAACGATTACATCATTTGGTCTAAAATTATCATCTGTTAATTGTATTTGTTCTCGGTCAGCAAATTCACATAAACATGTTCCAAGACCAGATGTTAATGGTTGAATATAATCAAAAAAGAATGCATTAATTTGTGCACCAATAACCAATAATAAACCAAGTAAATAAAATAAAAGTAATATTACTATTACAAAACCTAATTGACCAACATAATCAGCCATAAATTCATGTGCATACCATGGAAAAGTTAAAAGAACCAGTTGTAAACCTATAGCTGCAAATAAAGCACCACACCATCTAAAGAAAACTAATATGATTAATTGAAAAGAAAGAAATTATTTCTACATACGTATGTCTCCAACTCATTTGTCGTTTAGGTAAAATCATATAAATTAATTGAAAAAATATAAATGCAAACATGCAACTAAAAAACGTTATTAAAAATTGATAAAATGATTCGTGTTTTTGTAAAATAGCTGGGATTGATGCAAATATAATAATAAATGGCATTATAATTACAAAAGCTAAAACCATTTTAATTGCAAGAATATTTTGATTAATTATTGTTCGTTCACGTATACGATATACTATTGTTAATACATCATCAAGACCAACAAATAAACGTGAACCAGTAAATATTGACACCACAAAACTAATTATAAATACTGAACCAGCTTGTTTTGAAAATGCATCAAGTAATGGATCAAGTACATCACTAAAACCTTGTTCAGGAAATGCTTTTATTAAACGATCACGAATTCGATTTTGAAATTCAGTATCATTACTAAATATTAAACTAACAACAGCAAACATACTTACTATAAGCGGTAATAATGAAATAAGTAAATAATATGCAATAAGTGCTGCTAATGAAAATGACCAATCATATATTATTTTCCATCCGAATAAAGATAATTTAGCTTGAATTTGTTTGAGATTATCTTTTGTATTAGCTGATAACATGTTTTGTTTTTCCTTTCGACTGAATTAAACTTGATAATATTGTTATCTGGGATGCTCGATCGATTTCACATTAAAACAGAACGACAAAGAGTAAGACACATACGTGCTTTTTGTAGTGCGTCGTTTTTTTTTTTATTGACACGCCCACTCACTGCACAAGCTGGTTCGTGTGCATTGTATTATAAAAAAAAACATTATATACGCATTTTGATATTCATATTTTTTATAGAAGATTTTTTATTCTATCGAAAAAAAAAGAGGGTAAAATTTTCAATTTGACAACCTGTCAAGTATTTTTATGTATATTTTTTTTGTTTCCCGAAATTAATGATCATTCGATAATTTTTCATGATACTTGAAATAAGGGATGTGAAATATAAAGAACCAGTAAATACCGCTTAATGAAAAACAACTATTGATAGAGTGATGTGTGATGTGTTTGCGATAGAAACAGATGGGTTTTTTTCTCAATCATGCAGGATTTATTTACTAGTGACTCGAAACA